ACTACATGGCATTCCTCTTTGATTTTACCAAACTCTGTCCTGCTTCAGGGTTTTGGCACTGCCTGTACCATTTGCTTGGGATATTCTTCTCTTTGCTATTTGGATGATCAATATACTTCCTCGTTATTAAAATCTCAGACTACCCCATGTATCTAAAGTACCCAACATGGCAATGGCATCTCATTTAATTTGAATTTGCATGGTGTTTATTATTAATTATTTTCTTTGTTATTTATATTTTATTTTTCTGCTCTTCTTCAGAAATAATGGCTGGACGAGATATGGAATATTTCTTGTAAAGTAATTTCTCAGAACCTAGAACAGTGCAGGGAAGATAACAGATGCTCACAACTTCTTACTGAATAAGTAAATAAATGAATCAATGGCTGTGTACATATCTGGACAAATATTTTTTGTGACAGACAGCTTTGCAATTTAATTACAGTTTAGGGATATTTTATAATGTATTTAGTTGCATTCCTATAATACTTAAATATCTCTGGCTCCAGTATAAATCCACAAATGTAATGTTGAACATTTAAAGATCAAGCTGAGGCCAAATTCAGATTTAACAAGCTAATCTCAACATGTTGTGCCCTACAGGCTAATGACTGACATGTGTTTAAGAAGCTGTCATCGCTGCAGGTTAGTGAGAAGATTATGAACAGTTTTCTCCCCATGTCCTCATTGGCTTTCAGTTGTTTACTCTGTTTTCTGGACAAAGAATTTATCTTTTTTTGTTTATTTTCTCCAGAAGGAAAAGGATCTTTTTTCTCCATTTAAATTTATTTACTTATATTTACTTGAACTTGTTAATTTTATACTAAATTTCAATCAGTTTCAAAATTAGGTATAATTTATAAACAAAAAATATCTTTAATGTGAGTTTATGGACTTAATATTTATGCTGATTTGAAATGAATAAATTTATTATTTTCTTTAATAACTAAGGAAACAGTTTAACATATCATAAATATAAGGCAATGAGAGTATATATTTTTATGTAAAAATTTTGTATTATCTTTGCTAGACTATGGTACCCTGTTTGGGGCAAGCATGGGTGTAGATGTTGCAACAAAGATATTATTTAAATGTGGTTATATATAAATTAGTGGACTTTGAGTACATTACCTCTCAGAACATGGATAGGATTCATCCAATCATTTAAAGGCCTTAAGGGGGAAAAAAAAAAGACTTAAGAAATCACAAGGAAGAAGGAATTCTGCCTTCATATTGACTTAAGACACGGAGCTAAAATATTAACTTTTCTGTGTCTCTATAACCTGTCAGATTGCCTACAGATATATATACACACACATGTGTGTATTTACATACATATATGTATATATACATGCATATGTATATTCCAGCCATTGTTTATATAATGAAAACTGTGTGCTACATTGATATAACCTGGCAGCCAAGGAGAGTAGACTAGAATGCACATGTGTGAACAATTACAACTTCGCTCTACTACTCAGTGGGGTACAACAGATACCATTGAGTGAGCACATGTATTGTGTGTCTCTCACATTCAAAATGACTGAATAAAGCAACAGATCTGCATCAAATTTTGTAATAAATTTGAACATTCCTGCATGGAAACTATTCAGATGACTCAGAAGACCACAGTTATGGGCAACTCGTGATTAGCTGCTTCATAAGGACAATGCGCCTATTCATGCATCATGTTTCATGCAGAGTTTTTTGGCAAATCATCGAATCACCCAAGTGATGCATCCCCTTTACAGCTCAGATTTGATGTCCTATGACTTATGGCTTTTCCCAAAACTAAAATCACCTTTGAAAAGGAACAGATTTCAGAACACCAATGAGATTCAGGAAAACAGGACAGGACAGATGATGGCGACCAGGAGAACTGTGTCAGGTTCCATGGAGCCTACTTTGAAGGACACTAAGGTGTCATTGTCCTATGTACAGTGTTTCTTGTATCTTGTATCATTTTCAATAAATGTTTCTATTTTTCATATTATGTTGCTGGATGTTTTCTGGATAGGCTACATATATGTATATACACACAGATACACACACACACAGGTATTAACATATATATGGTGAATAAGAAGCTATTTGGCTTATTTGAAGAAATTTTTATAAATTTATCCATGTTATACAATGCTTTCAAAATTTATATCCTAAAATTCAAATGAAATATTTAATGAATCATTTAAATAACATATTAGTATTTAAATAGATTAGATTTACTATTAAATTTTATTGAGTATATTCTATTCAAGAATTGGCAGAATCAGTATGTATTGGTTCCATCTGTGTTTAATTTCTCCACATAAAATTAAGTATTCACTCAGATTTAAAAACGTAAAAATGATCCATTTGTTATCTATATTTAACTTAAAATCCTTGGGATGCCAAATTACTACTTGAAAAGTAACAGGACAAAAGTTCTGATATCTGATAAATGTGTTGTCTAAAATTGTGAGAAGCTGACATAATTATGGGTATAGAATGTTATTGATAATGGGGAAATTTAATGAGGTTCTCTGCAAGTTTGAAGAGAGAGCAATGAATTTCCTTCTGAGCATTAAGTATAAATTTGTCATGTAATAGATTGACATGGAGTTACAAAGTCACTTTAAGGGTGTTTTGCAAGGCCGTCAGATCCGGCTATAATCTCTTAACAGCCATAGCAGCATGTCTGGAAAATGACTGAGTGAATTAGATGTGGCTGTCTTTGAAAGGGAAGCTGAAAAGAAGCTATGGAGGAAATCAGATTCAAAGAAGGGGCAAATTCTCACATAAAAACTCCACAGGTAGAATCCCAGTGTTAAATAATAAGTATTTCTTCTAGTTTAGTCAAAGATAAAGATTATTTCTTTAGCAATATTTTTAAGAAAGAACTGGTTATCTTTTAAGATAGAATTTCCTCTGAGAACACATTTTTGTGAACTATATACTTAATTATTTTCTGATTTTTGAGCTTTAGTACATAGAGATAAGAGTGAAATAAAGCATTTACTTATATTGGTTGGGGTAGAATGTAGCAAAAAGATTAATATTTCATTAGACTGTCTCTAAGATATGCCATCACCACTGAGGTTTCTGTAATACCTGACAAGCATACATGATTTTTATTAAGATTATTATTAGGTGATTAGCCTCCTGACATCTTGGAGTACTCATGGAGAACAATAAACATTTTGATGCTACAATTTAGAGCAAGAACCAGGTAGAAGTCAATGAACCCAGGTCTCATGAAACAAAAATGTATGCTTAGAATTGCAATTATTTAATATGCTCAGGGCTTGCTGATGACTCTCTACTACAAAAATTTAATTCCTCTGTTTCTTTTTTTTTTCCTTTTCCCTAAACAACATACTATTGTTTTCAGGCAACTATCAAAGTGGAAAGTTTGAATGACTTAATGCAGCTATTTTATTTGTAACATGCTAACTCAGTATTTGCTGAGCATTTTAAATGATGGGTTGGTGATAAGTTTTGAGAATTCAGGGGGAGAGAGGATAGTTGAGGTTATTCCTTTTCCTCACAAAACTTAATCTCTAGTTAGTTATAATGCAGAAAATCTTAAAAATTTGTTCTTTTGTTAATATTTGTTTTTTGGCTGCTGCAACATAGAAGTTTCTTCACATTTAGGTTTTGTGTTATGAAACACTGAGTAAAATTTATTATTAATACTTATAAAACTCTTTTAGTTAAGGTTAAATCAAGATCACTTATTTTTCATTTTGAAAGAAATAAAGTGGTCTGAACATCTCCTTAGTTTACAGAGCCACTTTAAGCCAATTAAAATTATAACAACACTCTAGAAGAGTAAAGATTAAAAGAGTATCTTAATAATTTCTTAAAAGTTTGAATTATTAACATCTGCAATTTATGTTGAGAATATAAATACATTTAATTCACTAGTTATATTGTATTTCCTAAATTCTGTTAATAATATAAACTTGCAACATTATTACTTAAATGTTGTTTTAAATATAAATACCCATTAGATACAGTTTTAATACAGCATAACAGTACATTGCAAAAATGCATATTTATGTACCCATATTATCATATGTATTTTATGCCATTCAATATCTAGTAATTTTAGGCAGAATAAGAAATATTGCTCATATTGGCCCCAGTGACAATATTTTGTAATGTTGTGATTGATTTTGACAATAGAGGGTATCTTTAGTTTAAGAAATAGTCATTTTATATCATATCCTAAAATAACAAGTAATTCAAAACACATTATTTTTATAATATGTCCATACGTGATCACTGATTTTAAGTTAGTTAAAATCTTAAGAGTTAAATGGTACTGATGAATCCTATTGAGCCATAAATTACCAAAATAATCAAATAAGATTGGCAACGTGTTAAGGTAAGGGTGTTTGAAATTTGAAACACTTTTACTGTTTGTTTTTAAAACAATCACCATATCTGATAAATTATAGGAAAAGTTAAATGAACAACACCAGAAGAAAATGCTGTTTTTAGAGTCTCACTGAGGGACAAAAAACTAGTGAGCATTAGCATAAAAATAAAAGACACTGAAAAAACTGGTTTGTGGATACACATTTAACATCTTTTATCTACAATGTGTAAAAACTGTACAATTTCTTTTGCAATTGACATTTCACAGCATTACATACGCAAGTGAACAATGGGGAATAACTTTAAAATCTCAAGCCACCCTGAGTATTTCATGATCAAATAAAGACTCTTTGGCAATATCCAGATCCTATCCCTCAGAGGAGATGGAAATTATATTCTTTGTCTGCAGATCCAAAGAATACAAAGCAATTATATTTGCCTGGTTCAAATAGAATGGCTACCCTTAAGCATATGACAAAGAAGATTTTGTAAAAAGGTTTTTTAAAGAACAGGTAAAAAAACCTTGGTCAAAGAAATATTTATGATGACCAATAGACATCTTTGTCATTAGATTTTGCTAGGCAGTTGTCATCTTGTAATAGAAAAGTAATTTCTACGTGGAATCAAGTACCACTTACCCCTGATATTCAACCATTAGTCAAGGTAGCTTGCAGCCCTGGGAGGCTCCTGGTTACTGTTAATGTCTGCACATGCCTAGCATGTATCACTTTGTTTCTTAGGACCCTTATCAAATAAGACTTCTTTTATATGTGGCTTTTGAAAAGAAGCAGTGCAAGCCCTAACCTGCTTCAGTAAGAGGTAAACTCATTAAAGCCATGTGCAGGCTGACATAAGGCTTGGCCTTTATTTAGCTAATCTGGAGATGAATACGGAAAGCCACCATCTGGAGCTTTGTATAAATCCATAAGCAAAATACTGCTCTATATTTTAATTATTTCCAGTTTTCATTTGTAACTCACCATTTTCATTGCTAACTTCATGTGTCTCAGCCTGAACGCTTTCTTATGTTTTCAGGGATTAATACAAATGGATTTTTTCTTTAGTTCAGATACAGACAAAGAAAAAGGCCTTGTGTTACTAGGGAAACCTAACGCTGGAGGTTTAGTGACAACCTTAGATGGTATTGTACAGCAAAGGCTGTCAGGATAAAAGAACAGACAGAGAGCTTGCTGATGCAAAAAATGAATTTAGAATGTTACTTATTGATTGCATGATGATCTTTATAAAAGAAGTAATGCAGACTCTGTCATTTTCTAAAGAAGAATTATGGAACTATAATAAAGATGACCTCAAGAAATTTATATCATTGAAAAGTAGAATAAATGAAATCTCACCTCCATCTGTGAGTTTATAGAGAGAAGAGAGATTACTGGATCCTTCAGAATTTTGTCTAATTGAGATTCTATTCTATATCCTGAAATTGCAGTTACACTTGAATACTTGCCTTTTATCTTTATATTTAAAATGACCAAATTAAGCATGAGTCATTTATATTATACTTGGTTTTGCAGTATGTGAAATATGTATTTCATTAATCTTCTAATGAAAGAAAGAAATGCTATTTTAAAATAGTAAAACTAGCTCTGGCTGGTGTGGCTTAGTGGATTGCCTGATGGGCTGCAAACCAAAGGGTCACTGGTTTGATTCCCAGCCAGGGCATATGCTTGGGTTGTGGGCTAGGTCCCCAGTAGGGGGCACACAAGAAGCAACCACGAATTGATTTTTCTCACCCTCTCTTTCTCCTTCACTTCCCATCTCTCTAAAATAAATAAATAAAACCTTTAAAAGAGAGAGAGAGAAATACCTTTAAAAATAGTAAAACTATACTACAAAGTTATTTCTATTTGTAGTGATAAATGAAATTATAAATATAAGTATATATTTATTTCATAAAATGTGTATACTATATTATATATAGTTTTTTTATTTTATTTTAATCATTGTTCAAGTACAGTTTTCTCCCACTTACTCCCATTCCAGCCCACCCACCCAACCCTCCCCTCTTCCCACCATTACCCCCCACCCCTAGTTTTTGTCCATGTGTCCTCCAAATTTGTTCCTGTAAACCCTACCCACTCCCCCCTGAATAGTTTAGTTTATATGTTTTTTAATTTGTGTATTATTAATGAAGTAAGATACCATTATAATTTTGTAATCCAAAGAGAGGAAATGTTGGGGACATTCAAGAAAATGACTTACTCATTGTTATGTGGAGTCCTCCATAGACACTGAGCCATCTACAATTACATCATATTATAATGCACATATCCATTAATATCTAGAAAAATATATTTATGTATTACACCTGTTACATATTTTTGAACTATAAGATACACTTTTCTCCCCAAATCTGGGAGGAAAATAGGGGTGCATCTTATAGTCCAAATGTAGCTTACCTGGCTCATGTTGGGGGGGGTGCAGTGGCCTATGCTATTTATGTTATTAAATATTTTGCCACATTTTTTGCTTAATTTTTTTCCTATTTTCTTCCTCTAAAACATAGGTGTGTCTTATGGTCTGGTGCATCTTACAGTCTGAAAAATTCAGTATATCTTGATTTTCACTAGACTATTAGAAAATTAGTTCTAATTCCTTTGATAAAGAGGTAAGCCTTTGACACATCTATTTTCCTCCTTTCCTTTTTCCTCCTCTCCTCGCTCCTCTCCCTCTGTGACCTTCCTTACTTTTTCCTTTTAAATAATTCAAGAGGTGTTCTTGGATAAAGTGACATTTGAGCAAAATAAATGGAAATATGGGAGGAATTGAACTATGAAGATATGTAGGTAGGTATGCCTGGGTAGAGATATCTAAGTAGATGAAAGTACTAATACCCTAGAGTGGGCTAGAGAAGAATGAAGCTGAAACAACAATTGGGAGAGAGATAGGCAGGAGAAAAGCCTAATGAGTTTAATGATAAGTCAGACCAACATGTCATTGTTGATCATTTTATGAACTTGGGCTATTTTTCTAAATATGATAGAAAACTTCTGGAAATTTGGAAGAGAATGACATGACTTTGAATGCTGTGTTAAGGAATTAATGTAATTGTTGCAAGGTGACCAGAGTGAGGGTGGGGTGAAGGTGGGAAGAAGTAAGCCAGACAGGAGGTTAGTTTGGGCACAAGTGGCTAGGATGAAGATGCGAGTAGAGGTGATTAAAAAAGTCAGACTCTGGATATAATTTTAATACAAAATTGAAAGATGAGTTGATAGATTTAATGTGGGGCATGACAGAAATATATCCCAAATCTAACTACTTCACACAACTTCTCCTGTTATTAATCTGGTCAGAACCATCACCGTTGATCACAAGGGTTAACTCAAAGCCTTCCAATAAACATCCTTCTTACTACTTTTGTCCACTCCGTTGACCCATGTTTATTCTCAGCAGAGTAGCCAGAGTGATCCTTTTAAAACGTAAGACATACAAGGCCTATCCAGAAAAATTCCAACTATTGTTATATAATAAGAATAGTTTGCAGGACATCAATATAACCTGGCAGCCAAGGAAAGTGGACTGGAATGCACATGCATGAACAATAACTTCACTCTACTAACAATGGGGGTGGTAGATACTGTTCAGTGAGCATGTACACTGTGTGGCTGTTGCATCCAAAATGACTGAGCAAGTAGAGCAATTAACCTGCATCAAATTTTGCATTAAGCTTGAACATTCTTCTGTGGAAACTATTCAGATGATTCAGAAGGCCACAGCTATGGGCAACTGGTGATTGGTAGCTTCATCTAAATAAAGTGCCCACTCTTCCATCACATCTCTTGCAGAGTTTTTGGTGAAACATGAAATCACCCAGGTGACTCAGCCCTCTAGAGCCCAGTTTTGGTGCCCTACAACTTCTGACTTTTCCAAAACTAAAATCACCTTTGAAAGGGAAGAGATTTCAGAAATTCAAGAAAATACGATGGGGCAGCTGATGGTGACTGGGAGAACTAAGTGGGGTCCCAAGGTGCCTACTTTGAAGGGGACTGAAGCATCATTGTCCCATGTACAATGTTTCATGTATCTTGCATCTTCTTCAATAAATGCCTCTATTTTTCATAGGGTATAGATGGATACTTTCTGGACTGATCACGTATAATGTGAAGCATTTCATCAAACCCCACATTACTTACCATTTGACTTAGAGGAAAAAGCCATAGTTGTCGTAATGACTATAAAAGGCCTTCCAAAATCTTTGTTATTTCTTTGGTTTTCTTTCTTTTTTTTTGTTTCAGATACAGTATTTTCCTTGCTATTTTTCAAAAGTGCCAAGCATATAATCTTCTTAGATCCCTTCTCTTGTTCTCCCTTTTCATAAACACTGTTCTCCCAGCTATGTTAATTTCCTCCAGTGAACTGTCTCACTGCCAAGTGTTTCAGTAACACTTACCTTTTCACTGAGACCTGTCTTGACCTTCTCATTTAGTATCATACCTAACTTTTCACAATGTGCCTCACACTGCTTCATTTTTTCCCAGTACTTGTTACCCTTTGAGACTATATTATCTGCTTATTTGTATGTGTTTTATTTATAGTCTATACTCTCCTTCTGGATTGTAATCATTAAAAAGGTAGGGACTCTTGTTTTTTTCTGCTTTTGTGCAATTGCAGAGCTTGTTTTTCCTACTGTTGTACAATTATAGAGCAAAGTATTTGTCACCTAGTAAGTACTCAATAGATTTTGCTGAATAAATAAATGAAAGAATGATGACTGAAAATTTTATGACATAAATTAACAGAAAATGAGCTTTATTTACTGGTTAGGAAAGTATGGAAAAAGCAGTTATGAGGTGGAGTACAGAAGGGTATCAGACATTGGCTCTTGGTACTTAAGTTTCATAGGACTATTATACATGCAAGTAAAGAAGCTGTAGACACAGTTAAATTCCATGTTTGAAGGTCAGAGAAGGAATCCAAGCTAGATGTACACATTTAGCAGTTATTAGCATGTAGACTGCCCATAAAACTATGGAACTAGCTGAAATATTCATTTAAGGGTCACTATAGCAAATATAAGATGTTGGGAATGAAGAAATCAGAAAATGAAAGTGCAGAGGGATTATGAGTAAGATGACAGGAAAAACAAGAGTAAAGTCTCAGAAGGCAGGTGAAAGAAGCATTTTAAGAAAGAAAGAAAAGGACTGGGAATTTGTGGTGTAGACTACAGACAGATATTGAGAACATTGGACTACAGACCCCTTGAATCATTTTAACTTTAATACATGACTGAAGAAATGGGAGAGAATCACATCCTGAAACAAAAGTGCAAAGAAGCATGCTCTGGTGGGTCACCTCAGGGCTGCTCCATTCCTGACAGCTAATGGGGCTGTCTCTTCTTTATGTTCTCCTTGTTTTTGTGATAGGAAGATATCTCTCAAAATCCTTCATGAGAATAAGCTCATGGGCCTTTTCTATTCTTAGTTCTCTACATTTAAAAATCAAGTGATTGTCTTCCCAGGTCTTTGGTCTGACAGCAAGGTAAAAGGGAAAATATTCTTTTCTAATCACAACTCTTTCAAAATTCTCTTATATATAATTGAGACCTTTAAACTCAATAGCAAAATATAAAATAAAATAATTCCATTTAGTAATTTGTTTTCCCCACTGATTTCTGTTACAGATATTCCATGTAAGACAAATCAGAAATTGGCAAAGTCACAGTATTAGATTTTGTTAACATCCTGTCTGGGGAAATTAGACCTTCCTGAAAGAATCATGTTGTCCATAGATCTGTCATTTGGAAAGCAGGCCCCAAACCTAACTTTTACCCCAA